GAGACTCTGTGTCTAAAAAAAAAATTATATGTAAAACCAGCACATTGTACCCCATGATTGCATTAATGTACACAGCTATCATTTAAAAAAAAAAAAGATGAGCTCAGCCTTAAGCATCTTAAGTCTCAGTCTTTGAAACAAACTTGTAATTAATACTGTAAAATGAACTCAGCTTGACAGTATAATGGATACATTTTTAGTTTTATAATAACCTGAGGTTAATATTGAATTCGTTAAAATATCTGAAGCATTAGCCATCATATATTTTTATTTTATTACAACATAGCTTAAAATTTGTGTAATTACAATTGTGACAGAAAACCAGCTTCATACCAAAAATACACTTTCCTTTATCAAGCAAATAAACACAATCTTCATTTATTTGCTCTTTGTTGAAGTTAACATACAATAAAAATTTAGTATTATATATGACAGACATGTGATTAAGCATACATACAAAATAAACATGTACTAAATGTTCAAAAACAAAAATAAAAATAAATAGCAATGATAAAACTTTGAAAAAAATAATGGACATTTTAGTTGTGGAAAATATGACTCTCAATTATATATACATAGTTATACTTAATAGAAAGCCATCTCTTCAAAATTGCACAAAACAAGAGAGCAATAAAGTATAATATTTTATGGCATATAATACTATATTCCTAGGGAAGTTTGTTTCTTAACACCAGGATATAAAACACTTAGGACTGTAATATAATAAAAGGTATGCAGTATTATTTGAGAAAGATTGTCTTCCTCACCTCACATTAACCTGTAGTAATCCTACAAAAGGCTGTACAGGAAATTTCGCAAAAAGAAATATTGAATAATTACCGTACCCACTTCATGCTGAGTAAACAGCCAAAAATGGGCTTCAAAATAAACTTGGTGGTTTAATATTTTCAGTATTTTATATTAAAGATCATTTCTTTGTTCTATAAAAACACTGTGTTAACCATGATTGGCAATCTCAGCACAAGAAAATCCTGGCAAAATGGAGTTGGTTTTTGCCTATCTTATTTTCATGAATAAGATACTTCAGAAGATAAAATTTTATAGCAAAGAAAATTAATGCTCAATTCACTTACAACCAGAGCCTTATCACGAGTGTTATTACATCATTTTAAAATCCTATTTAAACCCCTTTATAAGAAAACCAGAGGTAACATTTCCATTTGTATTATGGCACAGCCCTCGATTTAGAGAAAAATACACTTTAGAGTACCAGAAAAAACTGCACAAAGCTTAGGGGTAACCTGAAAAGCTCTTGGTGAAAAACACTTAGGTACCCTAGGGCAATAAAAAAATATATGCAGACTTAGTTACAAATATTTACATTCAAAACAGAATCATGAGTTAGCTCAATAGTAACAATTCACAGGTATTTCAAAAGGTATGATAATGTGTCCACAATATCTGTGTCCACATCTGAATGCATAGAATACAGCAGATTATGGTTCTTCAGTCTGTTACCTATCATATTTACAAAATAAACTGTTTACATTTTGAAAGCTGTACGATCAAAAGAATTGAGCAAATATTTTATCATCTTACATGAAATAAACCTTAAGTACTACTGATTTCGCTCATTTGTTCGACAACTTGTCCTAAAATCTCATCAACTACATCAACATCATAGTTCACTTGCTGGAGATCAAGATCAGGCACAATCATAGCCAGCAGCTGTCCTACATTAACTCGAAGAGATCGAAGTTTGAGGCTGCAAATAGAAATATTAAAATTATTAGATGAGCATTACACAATACAGCTAAATATTCATGTAAAACTTAAAAACTGAAAATGAAATAGTTAAAACCAAATTTCTTTCGAATGACAAACAATTACACAAAGAGAAAAGCAAAACTTCCTCTAGAGAACCGGACTTAATTCAGTAATTCATTTTATCCATTAGATGCTAGCCTAAAGCTTTTCATAAAACTAGTAGCTCTGCTTGGTTCCTACTCACACTTTTAATTTGCAGATTGAAGCAAACATGGACCTGGACAAAATATACAAATTATATGCTATTTATAATTTAAAATATTGTTACCACCTGGAAAACAGCAGAGCTATGCTAGTGGGAACACTGGTTTAAAAATAAAAATGCAGGGCGGTGTCTGTGGTTCAGTGAGTAGGGTGCTGGCCCCATATACCCAAGGGTGGCGGGTTTGAATCCGGTCCTGGCCAAATTGCAACAAAAAATAGCCAGGCATCATGGGGGGCGCCTGTAGTCCCAGCTATTCGGGAGGCTGTGGCAAGAGAATCACCTAAGCCCAAGAGCTGGAGGTTGCTGTGAGCTGTGATACCAAGCACTCTATCAAGGACGACATAGTGAGACTGTGCCTCTAAAAATAATAATAATAATAATAATAATAATGCAGTAGCTGGGTGCCGTGGCTCATGCCTGTAATCCTAGCACTCTGGGAGGCTGAGATGGGTAGATCCCTTGAGCTCAGGAGTTTAAGAACAACCTGAGCAACAGCGAGACCCCCTGCCCCAGGTCTCTAAAAATAGCCAGGTATTGTGGCAGGCATCTGTAGTCCCAGCTAGGGACTGAGGGATGAATGCCTTGCCTCAGGGACTGCTTGAGCAACTGTTTGAGGTTGCTGTGAGCTACAATGCCAGGGCATTCTACCAAGGGCGGCGAAGTCAGACTCTGTCTCAAAAAAAATAAAAATAAGCCACCCTTGGTGGCTCACATCTGTAATCCTAGCACTCTGGGAGGCCGAGATGGGTGGATTGCTTGAGTTAACAAGTTCAAGACCAGCCTGAGCAAAAGCGAGACCCCATCTCTACTAAAAACAGAAAAACTGAAGCAACAGGATTGTTGAGCCCAAGAGTTGGAGGTTGCAGTGAGCAATGATGTCACGGCACCCCACCCACAGCAACAGCTTGAGACTCTGTTTCCCCCCAAAATAAATAAACAAATAAAAGCACCATGGATGCTTGTGGCCCTCATTTTCAGAAACACTGGTCAACTCCCCCTTTTGACCCTTGGCCTCCATGCACTCTTTTCCATTTCCATGAACAGGAAATTACAAATCTAACAAAATCCTTGAAAAACTTTAGCTAAAAGACATAGCAGTAATATGAGTAATGTCAAGTGAGGGTGGCAGGAGATTATTTCTAAACAATAGAGATCTTTTAGACCTCAAGCTATGATATTTATTAGTAGAGCTGCACAATTTTAGCCTTTAGTGACCATTTTCCAATGGTAAGCCATCAATGTTTTACTCATGCCGCCAACCATCCCCCGAACTTGTCTCCTCCCCTATCAAAAATGAATCTAGACAAAACCCCAAGTTCATTTTACATCTTACTGAGATAAGATAATCATTTGTTTACTGTCTACTTGCTTTAACAGGACTTCTTTCGAATATTACCTACACTGTGGCAATTTATAGTTATGTTGTGATTTCCTAAAAGTTAAGATTAAGGACAGCATATAGTAAAATAAGAATAGCAACCCATAAATACTAGTGCCAAGTACAGAAGTAAAAGAAAAAACAAATCAGGTTGAAAAAATGTCAATCACAGTCAGTCTCTTGTCTTCTAGTTATGGCCAAATTTATCCCATTCTTAAAGATCTGTATCAATTTAGATCTTTTCCCTCCAAAACTCTCCAAACCACTCTGACCAATCAAATGCTTATTTCCTTCTTAAAAGTAACATAAACAGTCAGCAACTTGAAGGGAAGAACGACAAGAGATTATTTCCCTTCTATCTCTCCCATAACGTTGAGGTCACAGCAATCATTAACTTCTACTGACCAAACAGTAACTCTATGGTACTTGATAGCAGACAAAATTAGTATGCCAACCATAACCACAGCCCCAGCAAAATGGCTCACGTAATATTACCTTTCCCCATCCATATAATTTACAGATTCTTCAACGTTACTTGAAGTAGAAACATCTGTTGCTATCTGCTGACTTGTAGATTTTAATTGTTCAATTTGTGTTTTGAGTTCTTCACACTGTGAACGAATTTGTGTTTTTTCCATTTCCAGTAATTCAACCTGACAAAAAATACACATGAATTTTATAACTGTAAAATTTAAAAATATTAATGCCAATATACAAATTTAAACTAAGAAATGTAGAGAAACTTCTTGATAAAATTGCAAATTACCAAAACACTTTAAAATACATAGTGAAAAGCCAATAAGTGCCTCTTTTTTTCTTTTTTTTTCTGAGACAGAGTCTCAAGCTGTCACCCTGGGTAGAATGCTGTGGTGTCACAGTTCACAGCAACCTCAAACTCTTGGGAATAAGCAATTCTCTTGCCTCAGCCTCCCAAGTAGCCGGGACTTACAGGCTCCCACCACAACGTCTGTTTTTTTTGTTTTTTTTTTTTTTTTGAGACAGAGCCTCAAGCTGTCCCCCTGGGTAGAGTGCCATGGCATCACAGCTCACAGCAACCTCCAACTCCTGGGCTCAAGCGAGTCTCCTGCCTCAGCCTCCCAAGTAGCTGGGACTACAGGCGCCCGCCACAACACCCGGCTATTTTTTTGGTTGCAGCCATCATTGTTGTTTGGCAGGCCCGGGCTGGGGATTCGAACCGGCTACCCTAGGTGTATGTGGCTGGCGCCTTAGCCGCTTGAGCCACAGGCGCTGAGCCTGACTATTTTTTTTAATTGCAGTTGTCATTGTTGTTTTTAGCTAGCCCGGGCTGGGTTCGAACCTGCCAGTCTCAGTGTGTATGGCTGGCACCCTACCCACCAAACTATAGATGGGGCCCAAAACTTCATTTCTTTAGTTTTACTTCTGTATCTTTTTACATTGAGAGGATACAAAATGTTAATTAATACTTGACTAAAAATAAGTGGTACCTAGAAACTGAAACCCAGGATACTAATGCCTAAATTGTTCTGATGTCAGTGGCTTTCTACTTCTTACATACTCACAGCTCAAAGTTAAAACAGTGAGTTTGTATTAATTTTTATGAAGATGTGCCCTGACCTACAATGGTTTGACTTTGTAATAGCGCAGAAGTGATATCCATTCAGTAGAAACCATACTTTGGGCCGGGCGTGGTGGCTCACGCCTGTAATCCTAACACTCTGGGATGGTGAGTTGGGTGGATCATCCGAGCTCAGAAGGTTCAGAGACCAGCTTGAGCAAGGGCAAGACCCTCCTCTCTAGGCTCAGTACCCGTAACACGGTGGTCACAGTGCCAGTCACATGCACAGAGGCTGATGGGTTTGAACCTGGCCCGGGCCAGCTTAACAACAACAACAACTGGCAACTAAAAACAACTGGCATTGTGGTAGGCGCCTGTGGTCTCAAGTACTTTGGGAGGCTGATGCAAGAGAACTGCTTGGGCCCAGGAGTTTGAGACTGCTGTGAGCTGTGACGCCACAGCACTCTACCAAGGGCGACATAGTGAGACTCTTGGGGGGCGGGGGGCACGGCGTGCCTTCTCTACTAAAACAAACAAAAAAACCCCCCAAACTAGCTGGTCATTGTGGCAGGTGCCTATAGCCCTAGCTACTTGGGAGGCTGAGGCAAGAGAATCTCTTGAGCCCAAGAGTTTGAAGGTGCCATGAGCTATAAAGCCACTACACTCTACACAGGGTGACAAGAGTAAGACTCTGTCTCTAAAAAGAAAACAAAAACAAACCAACCCCCCCCCATGCTTTAAATACCCATAGAACAGCTCTAATTTCTCGCTTTTATTATAGTATTCAATAAATTACACGAGATATTCAACACTGTGACTGCAGACCTTGTGTTACATGATTTTGCACAACTATCGGCTAATGTAGGTGTTCTGAGCACACTGAAGGTAGGCTAGGCTAAGCTATGGTGTCAGGTAAATTATGTGTATTTAATGCATTTTCAATTGGCAATCGTTTATCACGTTGTAACCCCACACATAGTTAAGTCAAGGACCCTCCATATTTTACAATGAGTGTTTGAATGACCAGTTACATCACAGTATTTCTAGGAAATATTGTGTTTTTCTAGACAGTAGAGCACCACACTGTGGTTTCTAAACTCTTTAGCAGGGAAACTTTCTCAAAGGCCACACCAAAAAAATACAAAAACAGATACAAAGGAGCTACCTGAGTGTGAAGTGGGGGCATATGAAGGACTGCCACTCATCTCCTGTCATTTATCATTTTTCTCCTTCTTTCTCAGTAGAAGGATAGACTACATTTCCTAGGCAACCATTACCCAGGTGACCAAGATGTGACAGATGGATGTTAGAAACTTCTGAAACCATACACTGTTTGATTTCTTGCTGCTTGGAATGTAGATATCATGGCTGGCTCAGACTACAACTGCATGCTGAGAAGCAAAGCGATAATGCAGATAGAGCCTGAATCTGTGATGACCATGGAGCTGACACTTTATTTGGGGTATTATGCTACTTGCACACAAACCTAATCCTAACACAGAATAAATTATTAAAATGAGGATACCAGTCTCCAATGGTTACTGTGAAGCATATGTATTAATGATGAACATAGGCTGGGCACAGTGCTTGCACTTTGAGAGGCTGAGTTCAAGCCCCCTGAGCAACACAGCAAGACCCTATAAATAAATAAGTAAAGTTCCTACTATATTAACTGTCTTAATGGGGATACTGGTATCCTGAGCAGGTTAATTCTTCACTGCACAGCAATGTTCTGCACACTATGGGACATTTACCATACCTGGCCACCACTCCTTATTTAATTTTATATACAAAATGTAAGATTATAAAATCTGAATATGGACAAATGACCTTGAAGTAATCATTCTAAAGCACATTTCCTGAAGGCACCGGAAGAGCTCAAACTGTCCTTACACATTTCCATATGCCCCCAGGAGGACCACTCCTTGAGGAGTTAAGAACCAGTTAAGTAACAGACAATAAATCATCGTTTGCTAAGTATTCCAACCTCACATTTGGCAGTTCCTCTGAGTTTAGATGATCTGAATTCCCACGATTGTTATGTTAGGATGATACAACTCACCTCACTTTTATACTGGTCCCTCTCAATACTGCATTTGTCCAGTTGTCTAAATACATCGTCAAGCTGCACCGCCATTTCATCCATTTCACTTTTACTCTCACTGCTGGAACACTGACTGCACTCAGCCTTCACATGCTGCAATGAGCTGCACTGTTTTTTCAGCCTTTCTATTTCTTCCAAAGCTTGCTGATACTGATATACCATATGGTCTGGACTTTCAGACTGGCCATTAATACTTTCAAGTAAAAATACAGCATCAGTCTCAGTAGATTGATGACAAGTTTCCTTTTTCACATATTTGTCATTCATTTCTACTATCCTCTGTTGTAATACATTGATTTGGTCAGTAAACATGTGACACTGTCTTTTATAATTTTCTTTTTCTTGGGTAACGAGAAGGAGTTCATTTCTTAGTTCTTGCAATTGGCAGCCAGGGTCATCTGCAGATTTATCAAAGGTTTCTTGGCTTTCATGTACCTTTGCTTCAGCTTCCACACAGGAGGGCAGCATTACTGTATCATTTCTTGTATCTATCTCATCTTCAATAGTTTCTTCCTTTTTAACAACTAAACTTGGTACTTCAGTCTGAGTGGCTGCAGTATTTCCTTGATCACACTTGGATGATGAGGTGCTTGTTGAACTAGTCTGGCCACAAGGTTCATTATCAGCCACAAACTCCACCTGAACATTACTTTGCTCAATGTGACTCTGTTCCGCCTTCACTTCAACATCATGATCTATTATCGGTTTGGGAGTACTGTTTTCTTCTAAGATGATGACATCCTCATCATCATCATCATCTTTATAAACTGAATTTTCAAATGCTTGATTACTCAATCTCCGATTCTTCACATTCAAAATTGAGGAACGAGTAGAAAGTCTCCGTTTCAGGCTGGAAAAAATTTTATATATAAAATATAGGATTGTAAAATCTGAATATGGACAAAACAAATGACCTTGAAGTAATCATTCTAATGAACACAGTATTATAACAGTTTTATGACTATTTTGAAATTTTAAGAAATGCCCAGGCTCGTTTTCGTTAAATAACATATTGTATAGTACTGACCACTGATTTAACAAAATAGATTTTCTCCTTTTCCAGATGAAAAAATAATCGACTACTGAAATGTCTTTGAAGTACCAGATCTGTATACTGCCAACTATCTCTTCATTTAAGATCCTCCAGGCATTTTAATCCATACATGTCCAAACAAGAACATTACTTTCACCAGGACCATTCTTTGTATTCTCGAACTTAGGGAATGGCATTGGCATCTTTATTTGGCCATCATCATTTTTACCAATATTCAGTGATCTATTAACCCATGAAGCAAACTGATATTCCCTATTTTTTTCATAAAACAATTTTCCCTAACCTGAAAATTGCCTCATTTTCTTCATTTGTATAAATTCCTATAAATTTATCACCAACGCATTACTTTTTCCAACACTTGGAGAAAAATACTTATACTGGTTTACTACTACTTGGGCCTTGTATTCTTCCTCTGAGATCTCAGGGAAGATTTTCCTCTCCCTTGTAATTATTCTTTCATATTGAGGAAGCACAGCTTCCAAGAACATCTTGAGAAAGGGTACATGGGACATAGCAAATGGAAAATTTTGTGTGATAAAAACATCCTTATTCTCAAGTTTATTGCTGGTTTGAAATTTATATAGAATTCCACATTCGAAATTATTTTCTCAAAAATTTAGAAGCATCATTCTATTTTCACTTAACATTCAGTGTTCCTGCCATTCTAATTCTGACGTCTGATCTTTTGCATGTAATCTGTGTTCTTCCTCTCTGTAAAAATTCTTCTTTGTCCTTTGTGTTCTAAAACGTCATGATGACAAGTTTTGGAATGAAATCTTTTTCCAGACATTATGCTCTGTATTTAGTAGAAATTAAATTTTTCTGGTATGATTTCCTTTCCTTCTCTTTTTTCCAGATTTCCCATTCTGAACTTCCTAATTCAAATGTTGTCCCTCTTGTACTGATACTTTATCTCCCAACTGTATCTTTTTGTTTTAAGAGATCTGCTCAATACCACCCTACTTCCCCCAATACATTTCCCATTATTTTCTCCTATTCCCTCTGTTTCAGCTTGTTTTCCCATGGACATCACACATCTGGTGATCCTTGGCTGTTGAAAAGTAAAACTGACTAGCAGCAGTAAGGGCTAAGCCTGTGATTCAAATGCTGCTCAAACTGTATCCTCTAAGCTAGAGCTCTTTTGGAAGGTTGGAGGAGCCCAGTGAAAGGAGGGAAGGCAAAATTCTCACCATTCAGTATAAAAATTTTCCCTATGCCCACTTTCAAAAGAATGGCTCACCTACATCTTCAGCAAGAAAAACTGCTTCAGAAAGGAAATTTCTTATCTTCTGATAGAGGAAGAAGAGCAGGACTTATAAGACTCTACAGGCTGACAAGAGGGTCCAGAGAACTACTTTTCCTTGAACTTCAAGCAAACCTCTTGTTTTCACCCCTGTCTATCACCTGCAGCAGTATCCAATACTTCCAAGTTCTGAAACTTTCTAGGGATCTATGGAGTAACTAAGTTTGCTTCTTGTCAGATTTCTGCCTTCCTCCAGAGGGCTTACTTAGGTTTCAGCTTTCTTTGGTCTGCTATAGAATAAACTATCTTGTTTATTCTGCTCTGTTTAATTAAGAATTGCCCTATATTTTTTCTTACTAGGCTAATTCCTATTTGTCTTTCTTAAGGCTGAGTTTATTTTGCAGACTTTGGCTTTATAAATTTAAGAATAAATACAGGGGCAGCGCCTGTGGTTCAAAGGAATAAGGCGCCAGTCCCATATGCCAGAGGTGGTGGGTTCAAACCCAGCCCTGGCC